TAGGTAATTCCTTCCCTCCCAGTTATAAAGTTTGAGAAGAAATGATGTTTTTCCTGAAAACAGCAAATTTGATGACTCGCTTTGCCGAGTGCAACTTGTACCTGAACATATGTGGATATTAAACAGAGTTGTCAATTCCTTTTCAAGTCTGAGAAGCGTGCTGATATTTACATGTACATACATGTATAGGGTGTACATACATACTGTCAGAATTGAGAGACCTGAGTAGTGTTGTCTGAGTTACCAGGCTTTTGTTTATTGCTGGAAATCTGATTATTTGGACAAACAGAAATTTGTAGTTTTGCCCCCCCCCCCCCCAAAAAAAAAACCCACCAATTTTAGTCTGAGTCCGATTGCCATTTATTGCAACCTTTTGTCAAACTATGTGACCCTTACCAACCATAAATTGTAATGTAGGGACTTAATTCTTGATTATTTTATTAAAGCTGAATTGGAAAAGGACTTGCAAGGAACACATAAATAAATACATTCTCAATAAATGTGCCACATTCACTATTTAAATGGTTCAACTCAGCAAACTCAAAAATTCATACTGCTCTCTTTCCTACAGGGTGAGTCAAAAAGATGGGTACCCGATTTCAAAAAAATATTAAAAATATTTTTTGAAGACGGGGTTGAAAATAGTACATCAGTGAGAACCCCTGTTACTTAGCCTGTCATCTGGTGAAATGGGCAACACGATATGACAGAATTTCTGAAAGTTCAATGTTTTGAGGAAAAAAAGGGGAAAAACAAAGTTGTCCACGGAATACCCAATATGCCATGTCGGTTTTAAGTGGCCTGGCATGAATGACATACGCACATAAATAGAATCCTTCAGTCATGTGAAAGGAATAACAAACTGAGAAGGAAATGGTTTCAGAAAAGCTCCGCAATAACGAGAAGCATTGTTGAATATACAATACGATAAGTAAAGAAAGAAATCCTGACATTTTAGCCCGATTCAGTGATCCGTGGACAAAATTTAGTGTCAACACATTTTGAGGGGAAAAAATTCTGTATCTCCCAAACCACATAAGCAATTAAATTGATGAAACAAAAATTAGGTGGTTGCTAAAACCTTGTAGTTGGTGTTTCTTTCTTTAAATTAATTTATACTCATCCTTTATAGATGGAATTGTTAATGTAACTCTAATTTTGATGTTATCTCAAATAATGCATGTGGTTGACCGTATCCTCAAAGAAAATGTGCATACCGTACTCCAAGATAGAGTATGCACAAAATATTGATTGGGCTGCAGCCCACAAAACATAAGCCAGGCTTTTCCAAAAAGCAGACAAACTAATTATACCTGTTCATGGTGTGATATTAACTTAGCGCAGAAGGTAATAAATCATAGTTTGCTTGACACTGCGTGGGCAGTTTGGAGAATTACGCACACACCATTCAGCTGCCGCGGCTAATGTTTGTGTTAGCTCTGGAGATGCGGTTGAAATAATAATATTTGTAATCTGTTTGCCAGTGATGTGTATATTAAGGCTGCTGCGTACGCAAACCGACCGTATAAATAAAGTACTCCAGGAGTTTTCTGAAGGTAGAATTGTTGCTTATTATAAACTTGCTCAAAAAAGATGGCTGTTTTTTTGCAGGTGTTATCATATTGGGCAGGGTGGAAACCATGTTAGCATTTCGTACATTACAGATCTGATGTTTATTTCACACTTGAGGTTTGTTGTCCTTCAGATCAAAGGAAAACAAATGCATTTTAGTTATGCAATTAAATTAGGTCAAGTAAAACATGAACTGCGGTATTTTTTGAGTTGGGGATTGACAATTTCCTTGGAAATTTGATGATCCAACAATAAGAATTACACCAAAGTACACATTTTATGTTTTTTTAACTTCATCTGTCAGGTGGTGCACATGTTCCTTGAGAAAAACAATATCCACCCATTCCACATTTCATGTTTCATTTTGGTGTGATGTGCATGTAGTTACAGAAGTCATGCTCTAAAGGGCATTGTTGTAAGCTCAGAAGCAAGCTCTAAAGGGCATTGTTGTAAGCTCAGAAGCATGGGGGCTGTAACCGCACAATCATGACAGTAGTACCTGATTAATGTCCAAAGTCTGAGCTGATTGTTACTCAATCACCCTTCAGTAGAGAATCTGTAATGTGCTCCATCAACCCACTAATCCACCTCACCACAATTCACACCTCCTAAGTCGCAGGCAAACATTAGACTGGGTTTTAATGAGCTCCAATACCCTACTGTGTAATTGGATAACGATCTAGGGGGAGCCTGTACAAACAGACTCACTCAAGCATGTACAAAAGTCATTCTAGGGGAGGCAATTTGGGTCAAGGCCTGGTGATGTCCCCAAGTGTTTGGTTATGTTAGGTCAAGGGAGAGAGATCTTGCTTGGTGATGGCTGGGTGACTCTAGGGGTGCAGACCAGTAAATCGGTCCGAAATTGCCTGCGCCGGCCAAATCACGATTTGCATGCCCTCAAAATCTTCGGTATTTGAGCATGCTGTGGGCCATGAACTTGAGGGATTGTAAAAAATATGGGTGGAAGCCGTGCACAGGACTGGGAGCTTGCAGTTCTGTGTAATTTTGATGTAATTTGGACCCTAAAAGTGCTCTATTTTGCAATGGAGTGTAGGCATCGTTTTTCAAAATGGCGATGGGCTTCAGGACTATTTTCAGGGGTGATCATCTTCAGATTGAAATTTCTCCTAAAAGTCATCAGTTGACCCCCCGAAAATTGAAAAGAAAATGAAAGATGATGAAATAAGCTTTAATTTGATGTGTGTCTCGAACACCTTGGAGAGTTGGGAGTATTTTTCCCGAATTTTTGAAGTGGGAGCATTTACCATTGGGGTCTATGGAAGTTTATTTACTGGTCTGCTTCCTATAGTTTCAAAATGGCGCCTTCCATCGTTTGTTGACAAATGTTTGGGGAGTGTTTTTTTTTTCAGGGGGGCGGAACCTGGGGGGGGGGCAGCGTTTCAAAAGGGGTCACCAATGGCGGTTCCGCAACAAATGCGCCCAAAATCTGAATAGGGCCGATGGACCGTCGTCCGATCACAGCAATTTCGAGCGAACAGGGGGGGGGGGGGTAAATTGGGGTCGGAAGGAGCAAAAACTCAATTAACGCCCGTTGAGGGCGCCCTGCAGTAAGGTAGCCGCAAACAGAGGGCTTGTTTTCAGGCCAGAAATCGCAGTCAGAGATGTTTTTTCTTGCAATTTTTTGATGAAATATGAGTCATCCATCCTTCCTCGTGCCGTACAAGTGGTTTGGGGAAAATTTTCAAAACCTCGCTTCTCTATAGGGTGCAGACCAGTAAATCGGTCCAAAATTGACTGCGCCGGCCAAATCACGATTTGCATGCCCTCAAAATCTTCGGTATTTGAGCATGCTGTGGGCCATGAACTTGAGGGATTGTAAAAAATATGGGTGGAAGCCGTGCACAGGACTGGGAGCTTGCAGTTCTGTGTAATTTTGATGTAATTTGGACCCTAAAAGCGCTCTATTTTGCAATGGAGTGTAGGCATCGTTTTTCAAAATGGCGATGGGCTTCAGGACTATTTTCAGGGGTGATCATCTTCAGATTGAAATTTCTCCTAAAAGTCATCAGTTGACCCCCCGAAAATTGAAAAGAAAATGAAAGATGATGAAATAAGCTTTAATTTGATGTGTGTCTCGAACACCTTGGAGAGTTGGGAGTATTTTTCCCGAATTTTTGAAGTGGGAGCATTTACCATTGGGGTCTATGGAAGTTTATTTACTGGTCTGCTTCCCTAGAGAAAGCAAACAATCAAAGGTGTTATTTGAGGGGTCACAGTTTGGCTTTTAAATTACATCAAGAACACCTCTGTGACTGTAAATGAGGAGTTTTACAGTATGTGTCTGTATCTGTAGCATACTACAAGCAAACTCCACTATGGGATATACGGTTGCAGGCGCGTGGTGGCTAGCAGCATCCCTGTACAATTTTGTTAGTAGGCGCCCTTAGTGTTGAAGACAACTGCATCTCACGGGGCCTTGACTTAAAGGACTCCACTGAAGTAGCTTCCCTGTAAGTTCCATTGAGCTGTTGTTCTTGGTAGGAAAGAGTACGTGCACCTAGACGTGGATTTGAGCTTGGCATGCGTACAACTTAAAATTGTATAATTTCATGTATGATTGTCGGTGTCTGGGCATTAATGTGCACTTTCTTTTGCCCACCCCCTCCATGCCATCAACACCTTTTGACTAAGCAATTTGATAGAAATTTCAAAGGTCATTGAAAATACAGTACATGTAGTTCTGTGGGGCGTGGGCGGGGGATATCATCTGGCCTGCCAGCTGGCTTCAACTCCCTCTGGCAGTTTAAAAAAAAAAAGAGAAAGTGATCCTCATTGGTACATTTTTCTCTATCCTAGGGCACAATTTGACCTATTTTGGTTGGGTTTTTTTTGGTTTTAATAATAAGATTAACAACTTTTTCATAACAGAAATTGGTAGGGTATGTAATTAAGATGGGTTGACACTTGACAGTTGATGAGCACTAAAATTGTTAACCTGCTGAACCACAAAAAACTGTTAGGCTTGGAAAGTACTGTACGGTACTTTTGAGAGGGGCTCAATTCCTTTAAACACCTGTTTTCGAAAGAACCTTAGAATTCAGATGAAACAGAATTCTAAAAGTAAAAGGTATGGGTATGCACATGTATGTACATGTCATTTTTTTTGTAACATTATTTTTGGCTGATCAAGTCTTGTTTGAAACTATAGATGTTACACTTTTGTGAAAAATAGTCCTTTATGCATAACATGTACAGGTATACTTGTGGTACTTCACAGTTCTACTTTAATTTTTTTTACTCTACTCTCTGTGATAGCAAGGTGGTTTTACAATGTACATTTACATGTATCCAATAACCTTGTGACAATAGTACATGTAGATTTTCATTGGAAATTTGGTTCTCTGCTTCCATGTTACATCTTTCCGTGGTTTCAATTTTTTGCGTATTCCTTTTTTTTTGTGATTCAGACTTGGAAGAACCGTGATGATCCAGTCTTACATATTGAGCTGAGGCGTCAAGCCGATGTCCTAGTTATAGCACCACTGGATGCCAACACGTTGGCCAAAATAGCCAACGGACTCTGTGACAATCTCCTGGTAGGTATGTTTTTTATTTGTATTTTTTTTTCCACAGGGAAAAAGGGGTCTTCTGCTAGAGAAGCAGGAAAGAATGTTGCATCCTGACGCCACTTTTTTTCATCATATATCTCAATAGAGGTCAGTCATTGCAAAAAATTTAAAAAGACATGAATCTGGGACTGAGAAACATTTCCAATTTTATAAGATGGAATTTTGCGTCGGGGTGATATAAATCAAATTAGGTTTTGCCCTTCACCAACGTTTTTAAACACTGTATACTCAGTGTGTTACCTCCCGAGTGAAAGTTGGAAAAAAATCACTCGGGTGGGACTCGAACCCACGACCTCCTGCTTTCTAGTGCAGATGTCTTACCACTCGACCACCGAGCTAACGGGATCGGTTGGCTGGTTCGAATCTGATGTACATACCAGCGGGTACCGCGTAAACTATTATAAGATGGAATTTTGCGTCGGGGTGATACAAATCAAATTAGGTTTTGCCCTTCACCGACGTTTTTAAACACTGTATACTCAGTGTGTTACCTCCCGAGTGAAAGTTGGAAAAAATCACTCGGATGGGACTCGAACCCACGACCTTTTTGTAAGAAAATACTTTGAAAATCTTTGTACACAACCCACAAAGTGGCCTCTGAATACTACAATTCTTTCTGAGAAGCATAATGGCAAGTTTTAGGTGTTCTGGTCTGCTTGAACAAGTAACCCCAGAAAGATTAATCAAGTGCACTGTTGATATCACAGAGGACTTGAAGATGACATCAGTTGACCACAGTGTCTTGGATGGAAGAACACGTTTGTGATCCAGAGTCAATCAATAGTCGCATGACTGCTCGTCCTTCATGGGTTTTTGTGTACAAAAAAATGCCTCAACGGTTACAAAGAGCGAGTATAGTCTTGAACCCATTGCCGCTATGTCTGGTGCTCATGTGAAGATGCTACACGTTGTGCACATTCAGATGAAAAGTAATCATGCATATTTCAAATACGTGCCCCAACCACCATGCGTGGGGTCTACCCGATGTTCTCCAATACCTACGTTCCCCAATACCCATGTTCCGCAAAATCCTTAGGGTTAGGGTTATAGGGTAAGGGTTAGGGTTAGGGTTGGGGTTGGGGAAAAGAGGTATTGGGGAACATAGGTATTGGAGAACATAGGCATGCACCCCCGTGCGTATGCAGTGAGTCCACACGTACCGGAGCTCTCACAAGTGGTCATGAAGACCTCATGGAGTCCATAGGACACTTGCAGTGAATCGTGACCAGTGATGTACTTCGGCGTTTTTCTAAACCGGTTGTTTTCCCTCTCCTTTCGATCTAAGAATACAAATGACTGCAAAAAAAATACTTAGCTGTCTTGGATCATGGTTTGATTAAACAGGGCATTGGTCATTTTTACGGTACAGTCAGTATATGACTTGTACAGTATGCAGCAGTCACCCCTCGCCTGCTTTAAAAATCCTTGACTTCAGAACCCCATCTACACACACCACTGTATTCACGAGCAATATTCATGCTTGATTAAAAAAACTACATCCTGTTATCTCTCCACAAATCAATGGCAGCTTTGACATTAGATGTCCCAATTTCCGTCCATGGTCGTATCCTGTCATCTTCTCAAGCGAAGTAATCATGTTGGTCTATTTCCAGGCACTCTTTTATTAAACCTGTCACATCGTGGCTGGGGAATCGCTGATGAATTCGGTCCGCGAGAGGACAAAAAGTCATTACTTCCCAGCACTGCCCAAACATGCTTGAAGATGATGAGTAGAAAGGTCTCCTAGCTGACTCACGAAACGAAAATAGGCCGATGCCCGATTCATGGGGACCTCAGATGAATGGATTGAGGGAAAAAGATTTATTTGTTTCGTGCTTCTGATCCTGTTCTTGGGACTTTGATGGCTTGTACTTTTGTAGACATGCCCTCTTTGTGAACAGTGTAATGCCACTGGTTATTTATCAAGATCTGGGTGGGTTGCTATGTATCTGTGTGCATCGTAGTGGTGGGATTAAAATTCAGATTTTGTAAAATCTGGTTTGAATTCCACTATAGATATCTCTCAAATGACGTCATTGCCTACAGATTGTCACGTGCATCGGCATGTTGGGTGTCAAATTTTTCGTGACGCGCATTGGCTGTGCTGTATTTCGAAGAAATTTCGCGCAACATGCGTGCATGTTTAAAACATTTTGCACACTGCGCGCACACGTACCTGATGGCATAATTTTCCTACAAAGATGGCTGTCTATGAGAGGGGTCTATTCGGTTTGGATTTTGGAAACTGAATATTCGAAACCAACTTTTAAAAAAATCAGGACTTTACTTCTTTTTTGTGTGACACAACTAAACTAACTAACATTCCCAAATTTGCTCAATAGTTTCTGATGGTAACCACATTCACTCAGTGGTCTTATTGATCCATAAATAACCTGCCCATTCGACTGATCAGAGAGTTCCCATCCATGTTTTCAACGTAACAGCTTTGGAGTATTTTTGTAAAGGCCAAGTGGTCATTGAATCCTGCCAACTATATCCAATCATTGTGAAGGGTATTGCATGACGCACCTCAGTCGTCACTTTTTGTTGGCATGACAGTGAGCTGAATGGGACCTTCTGGTAAAATCGGATAACCATTATTCGGTTTGAAAAAAAATTAGGATAACCGGATTTTGAAATCTCAGATTTCTCCCACCACTAGTGCATCATAGAACTTAAATTTGGTACATTTGTACATAACAGTTGTGGCTTTTAGTGTTCAATTCAAAAAAATGATGGAAAAAAAAAACATAAGAATTGTCAGGTTGTACAAGGCCATAAAAGGTCTGGATAGACTGCTACGTGCCTGCACCATAGAATGTTTTTGTACTTTTGAGGGATCTTATAGTTGTGGCTTTTAATGTCCGAGGTGAGTGAACCTCAAAAAAAAAGTTGATGGGACTTACTTTTCACCTCCCATCCTGTTCTTGGGACCCTGACGGTTTGTAGTAATACATTTCTACAGTGTGAGGCCATTGATGATTGTTTAAAAATTGGATACACTGCTACATGTACCTTAGTCTGAGTATCACCCGTTCTCCATGCAGCCCATCTCCGGTAGAACGTCTGTATATAAGCATGCGTGATGTCATTTCATTCCGAAATCAGGACTAAAATTGTGATTGGTCAATTTCGATGCCACGTTTTTGTAATTATGCATCAACCTGTACAAAAATGCTACTCATCGTGGGCGTGATGTTTATGCACGCGGGGAGCTCGCATTACGCGCGTATAGAAGGTGTCTGCTGATTGGTCAGTTTCGCAAGGTCAATACACAGACTAGTTACATAATTAATTGCCAAATCTGTTTACCATAGACCATGGTCGGCTTCACCAGGGCCAGGGTCTATTACATAGACTACATGTACCTGTGCACAGAACAAAATTTACTCTTTTTTTTATATTTAAGAAACTTCTAAAAGTCGCGGCTTTTGATTGAGCGGACCTCATCAAAAATAATGAGTTGCTGTGGACGGAAATAACAGAAATTTTCTCCATCTTGTTGTTGGGACCCTGATGGCTACTGCTAGCAGACAAATGTGCGTACAATTTGCATGTGGGTCATTCCATAAATTTAATGTCCAAGATTTTGACGTTTTTCCTGTCCCTGTTACCATTGAACAGTTTAATTTGCCACTCAGGTATCATTAAAAATGAGTTCAAACTTTTCTTATTTGTTAAGAAGTTAGTTTGATTGAAATAATCGGGGGGGGGGGGCATTAAGGATGAGTGTATGCAGAATTTACAAAATTGTACATGTCAGCCTTTGTCGGGTGTAACAGAGACAGGAAGAAATGTTATAAAATGACCCATGTAAGGCCATTGATGATTTAGAAAAAAAAAAAACACGATGGGCTGCTACCTGTGCACTCTGTAAGATTTTTTTTGTACATCCAATGGACGTCTAATGGTTGTAGCTTTGGGCACCAGTCGCGGCCTTATCCTTCCCGCGTCCATGCCAGGTTATTCACATTTCCGTCTTAGAATCTTTTTTGATTAGTGTGGCTGAGAGCGCTCACATTTTTGGGTTGACGTACAGGCTCTTATCTGAGCGAGGCCAACGACACACTTCATCTCAGATGTCAGTGTTAAAGTGTTTTCAAGTTTCCAAGAAGAATTTTGGAGCCTTTATGATATATATGGAATTTGGGGGTAAAAATAAAGGGGAATAAACACATAAGTCATGCTACTCGGTTGAGTTGGAACATGATAGCTTATTCATATATAAATATATATATATTCATATTTTTATTAAAAAGAACAACATATTCAAAAGTTCATTTTATATTGAATTGACAGTTGCATTGCTAAAAAAAAATAGTCAAAGTAAGGAGCCAACGTTTCTTTCCTTGTAATGTAGGCCTAGTGCAAGATACATGTAATATTAGTCAAGTATGTGCCGTTTCGATCATCATGTTTGTAATAAAATCACTTGAAAAGAAAAGTCACATCTGATTGTTGACAAGCAAGGTTCGTGGAACAATGTAGTACTTTTGGTCTTTGGTGAGAACAGGAAGCATTTGGCTCAGAATCTGTGAGCATTACATGTATTATAGAAGAAAGTACATGCACCTTTTGATATTTTGGGAGCTTACGACCCCTTCGTTCGGTCACTCACTACTTCTCATCCTCAACCCTTCCTCATTTCCCACAGACCCCTCCCCCCACTGCCCCCAACCCCTCCCAACTTCCTTCATTTTTTATGTACTCGACTGCTTCACTGATGGGACTCTATCTCGTCCCTCATACTGCTGAAAATAGTGGCGTTTGCTGCAGCTGCAGAACCTGATCAGCATCGATCACGTTGCCGCCTCCGGCCAAAACTACACTTTTCCTTCATTATCCTGCGTCACTATCTACTGATTGGACATGTTCAGCCGTTGGCTCATTTACATAAATGCCCTATTTAGACAGTCCAGATTCAAAGATTGATTTTCTCAAGGATTAAATTATCCTGCAGTTATAGG